TATGCTATTTAGATCTGAATCTAAGGAAACCTTATCTGAGTTTTCTGTGTGTTAGATCTATTTATTTGTCACAGAGTGGGAAGAAGTATTTAAAGGTTACATGGAATGACAAAGAGTAGGTGAATATGATCAAGACACTTCTGAGAAGAAGGTGACTTTTGGGCACATTTTGAAAGTGGTAAATGGGGATAAGGAACAAAAAAGGATATTCTGAAATAATTTAGACTGTTTTTTAAAAAATTAGATTGGTTTATTAATCTTTTAATTCTTATATATTAAACCATAGAAGAAAACTAAGGATAGTTAGTTGCCTGTACTTTAAAGATTCATAAAGAGAAATTTGAGTAGTAAAAGATACTATAGTCCCATATACTATGAACGATACCTGTGGTCTCCCTTTTTGTATCAGGAGTCAGAAAATGTGTAAACAGATAAAACTGAAAGTTTATGAGCATAAAATGTAATCTAGTTGAATATATATATATATATATATAAAATACATATATATAGCTATTAAATCCTATTATTTATTTGTTTGTTTATTGAATTGGAGTTGGAGTCTCACTCTGTCACCCAGGCAGTGGAACTACAGGTACGCGTCACCATGCCAGCTAATTTTTTTGATTTATTGTAGAGATGAAGTCTCACAAAGTTGCCAAGGCTGGTCTCGAACCCATGAGCTTAGGCAATCCTCTCACCTCGTCCTCCCAAAGTGCTGAGATTATAGGCGTGAGCCATCGCGCCCGGCCTTACATCTTATAATTTAAATGTTTGCGCAGGTCGAGGCTGCAGTGGCTGGGAGCGGCCACTGCACTCCGGTCTGGGCGACAGAATGAGACTCCAACTCAAAAAAAAAAAAAAAAAAAAACCAAAATAAAATAAAATAAAATGTTTGACTTGGTACAAATATAAGGTACTTAGGCTGATTTCGATGTCCAAGTACTGTATTTTCAGAAATACAGGTTTATGATACCACGTAAAATAAAAAGTACCAGATTTGGTAAACAAATCCCTAGAAAAGGTACTCTGAAAAATGCACAGGAAATGCATGGCAATCATAGGACAGGTTTTTTTTTTCATAATTCAATAACTTTAGGGGGTACAAATAGTTTTTGGTCTGGGCTTTAAGTGTACCAACTATCTGGCTTGGCCATTTTTAAAACTGTGTGTCATCTTTTTTTTTTCTTTTTTTTTTTTGGAGTCAGAGTTTTACTCTGTCACCCAGTGGCACAGTCACAGCCACCACAGCCTCGACCTGCTGGTCTCAGGCAATCCTTCCCCCTCAGCCTTCCGAGTAGCTGGAACTATAGGCGTGCACCAATACGCCCTGCAAATTTTTTTGATTTATGGTAGAGTTGAGGTCTTGCCATATTGCTCAGGCTGATCTCGAACCCCTGAGCTCAGGCAAGCCTCTTACCTCCACCTCCCAAAGTGCTGGGATTACAGGTGTGAGGCACCACGCCTGGCTAGATTAGGTCTTTTTAATATTAAGGAAGGGACTTTGTGCTAAATTCTTGCAGAAGTCTTTAAAGATTTTTTTATTTCATACAGTACCTCCAAGTTCATTTTTATTTATTTAAGCAGCATTTTCAATTTTAGGATATATCATTGTTATAAGCACTTTATAAATATTAACATATGAAGCCCTCTTAACAACCTTAAATAATATTCATGTTTTTACAAGAAGATAGTTTAAATGTTTTTGCTCAATAGTCATTTTTTTCCAGTTACTTGTTTATTTAACAAAGTTAGTCATTTAGTTTAACATGAAGTTTGTAATCCCCATTTTGTAGTGAAAATTCTATACTGTTTCATGGTTTCATTAAAATAATAATTTACATTGTAAAGACATAATCATGTTAACAATCAGCATTCTATAGATATTCTATATTAGACATGTTTATGATATGGCAAAAATAGAGACAAAGAGAAGTCATTTTCATGTCACAAGCATTTATTTTGTCTTATTTACTTTTGCAGAGTGATCACTGTGAACTTTTGACAACATATAGATTTGAAAATGCACCATCTATTATTTTTACAGGACTTTGTTCTTATGCTTAGTTGAAGAGAGGTAAAATAAATCCATCACACATTTGTAAGGAAGGGGCTTGTACAGTTTTCCCAAGACGTTCTGTGCCCTTACTGTGAGATTGTTTTTGTGGTGGGTCCCTCTTTTTGAGGACCTCTTTCATTTTCTCTAGTTTTAGGTACCGAGACTATAGAGGTTTTGCTATTTTTGCCTGTGCCTTGTGATTCTCTCGCAATGACAGAAAAAAGTTATTCTAAGTTATCTCTCTGGTACATTTAATACATATGGGGCCAGATAATTCCCTGAAGCTACTTAGGTAGACCCAAACTTTATTCAAATAGAGGCCTTACTGAGTCTGCCTACTTGTATTCTTTCTTTTACTTCCTGCTCAGTAAACGAACACGAGTGTTGTCCATAACTCTTTCTGACTCATAGTGTAGCTGAATATAAAGTCTGCCTTGCATTTCTTTTTTTTTAAGTGGAAAATATAGTTTATTTAGAAAGTAAATTAGAAAGAGAGAGAGATTGATTGATTCACCTCCCCAAGGTAGGGGAGGGGGCCAAAGCTAGGAAACATGGTAGCTACAGCTCAAAAAGCCACATGAACACCCCAGAGTTTAACAAAGCAATGACCGTCTGCCTTGCATTTCATCATGTTAATGAAGTGGACATATCCTGAACTCCATACGGATAATTATGCTCTCTATATTATTTGGAAGATGCGGGAAAAGTCATTAGTATAGAATGTGTCTCTCACATTTGAATTGAACCCGATAGGCACATCTTCCTCTTAATAGACACTCAGTACATGTTGTTTTGTTTGTTTGTTTTTGAGTCAAGGTCTCACTCTGTTGCCCAGGCTGGAGTGCAGTGGCAGGATCATGGCTCATTTCAGCCTCAACCTCCTGGGCTTAGCCTCCCGAGTGGCTGGAACTACAGTGCACACCACCACGCCCAGCTAATTTTTTGATTTTTTTGTATAGATGAAGTCTCTCTGTGTTGCCTAGGCTGGTCTCGAACTTCTGGGCTTAACAGTCCTCTTGCCTTGGCCTCCCAAAAGTTCTGGGATTACAGGTGTGAGCCACCATGCCTGGCCAATGTTTGTTAAATAAATAAGGAGACTTGGATTCTGTTTCCAGCTCTGCAGCTAAATGAATGGGCCTTGTACTCTGCTGTCCATAGCCTTTTGGAACTCACCTGTTTACATTTCACTAGGACAAGTTAGAGGGCCAAAAAATACTTAAGTTAATGCTGGATGTGTTAAATGAAATACAGCTGGCGGTGGCATGGTGTGTCACCCTGAAGGTGAGAGGACAGTAGAGACTTCATGTGGCAGCATTAGTTGGTCCTATTCTCTGGGAGTGTAGCCTGTGTAGGGTGTAGAGATTGCCCAGGGACTGGAATCCTCGAATTTTCTGCCCTGCATAGCCCAAATTTCATTTGGCCCTGGGCCAGTGGAGGAGTAGTTAATTTCATGGATGCTTTAGAACCATTTGAGAGTAATTTCTTTTAAATTGGTATTCTTTCTGCAATTAAATATAGAACATTGAATTTTGACACACACCCTCTCTTCTCCCACCCGCTCTGTCATTTATTTCCCACCCACTCTTTCCTAACACTCTTATCTTTTCATCCAGCTTTAATTATCTTTTTACCTCTTCTCTGGGTCTATCAAACTATTTCTTATGTATGACACTGCATAATTCTCCAGAGCCATATATAAGAATGGCTCTGCCCCACAGTATGACCTGTGGAAACAGGTCAGTGATCATGTGCCAGGTAAGTATCCAGGTGCAGAGAAGTTGCCTCAGCCTTGTTTCAACACTACCACTGCACAACATTTTCCAAGGAGACATGCTGCCACTTGGGGCTACGGGGAGGCCACTCTTACCCTCTGTTTTCTTCTCTTGGATTGAAACTAGAGTAGTGTGTGGTAGTTCTGCTCCTATGGCAGGAGCTTGTCCCTTGGCCCAGTATCAAGAGTTATCTCTTTCATTCTTAGTTCCTTTAACAAAGGGCAGTACTGATTCTCTCCGCTCCCAGCCCTTTGTAAATTAGCCTCTGTCTATTTGAGTTTCAGAGAAAGGTGTCCACAGCTCCTTGACTGAGGTCCAGAGGGGAGAATGCTAAAGAAAGCATCCCTCTGGATCTGGTTTCTCATGGGGCTGGTGGCTTCGCTGTCCTTCCTGTGGACACTGAAAAGCAGTCATTGGCCTTGGTTTTCTCAGTCTTTGCTTCCTAGCTTCGTGTATCCAAGAGTTCCTGAAAGTCAGATTTTTGTTGCCTTTTGGCGTTCCCTGTGAATCTTGTCTCTCTCTTATAGTATCTCTTGCTGCTTGTGTTTTGCCAGTAGAGTCTGATGAAACACTACTGTGCTAGGCAGTCTTTAAAAATGAACAAAACAAAAACTTTTATTGTGTTTTTTAAAAAGATTTAATTTTTTTGTCAGGCATGGTAGCTCATGCCTGTAATCCCAGCACTTTGGGAGGCCGAGGCAGGAGAATTGCTCTAGCCCATGAGTTGAGCCCAACCTTGGCAACATAGCAATATCCCATCTCCACAAATAAAATAAAATAAAAGGTTTTATTTTTTATGACCAGTTTTAGGTTCCTAGCAGAATTGCGAGGGAAGTACAGAGATTTCCCATATATTCCTTCCCCGCACACGGAGCCTCTCCCACCCCCAATGAGCAACATCCTCCACTGAGTGGCACGTTCATGACAGTTGTAATTCTTCCTGATCTTCCTTTGTAAAGAGCTACTGATTTGAGCCTCTAATATCTCTACTTACCCTTGTAGTTCCAAAATGGGTTAGGAGACTTTCAGAATGTAGAAATCAGCTAGCAGGCAAATGTCTAGCTATAATTTTGGTGAAAGAACCCAAGAGAAGAATGACCAGATAACTTTTGACACATCTTTTGTAAATTTTGGATTTGATATCTCAGTCTTTCATTTTTCTTTTCAGTTGCTCTAGGTCGTAACCAGCCTTTGAAAAAGGAGAAACCAAAATGGAAAAGCGATTATCCTATGACAGATGGACAACTACGCAGCAAGAGGGATGAATTTTGGGATACTGCACCGGCTTTTGAAGGCCGTAAAGAGATCTGGGATGCCCTGAAGGCTGCGGCACATGCCTTTGAGAGCAACGATCACGAACTGGCACAAGCAATCATTGATGGTGCAAACATAACATTACCACATGGTAGGTTTGGTGTTCCTCAAGGACCAAGATAACATAAGCAGCTTGTTTCTAATAGCAGGAAATCAAGTGGAAAGGTTTTTTTCCCCCCTTGCTATGCATTATTATATATTTTTAATTTTTTTTGAGTGGGTGTCTCACCCTGTCACCCCGGCTGGAGTGTGGTGGCATGCTTATAGCTACCACAACCTCAACCTGCTGGGCTCAGGTGATCCTTCTGCTTCAGCAAGTATCTGGTAATACAGGCATTTACCACCATGCCTAGCTAATTTTTCATTTATTGTAGAGACAGAGTATCGCCATGTTACCCAGGCTGGTCTCAAACTCCTGGGCTCAGGCAGTCTTCTTGCCTTGGCCTCCCTAAGTGCTGAGAATACAGGCGTGAGCTACCACACCCTGCTATTCTAACTTTTTTTAGTGTAGCAAGAAGTAGCATTCCTCTTTGTATATCTTTCAGCTGGAGGCAGATTCTTCTTTGTGTGTTTATGTTTTTTTTTTTATTCTTTAATACATCTTAATCTCAGGAAAGGGAGCAATTGATAATTTGTCTTTTCCAGTTTCCATGTAACCTAGTTCTCTATAAAGTCCTCTTCTCTGCACATCCCAGTCCCTCATCCCTCTATGGGAGTGTCTCCTTCACTGGTTTCCTACCCGCACTAGAGATGGAGTCTCAGTTTAGACTTTATGGCATATAGAGACTCAGATAATGCTCCTGTAGGCATTATGCTTTCTCATCAAGCCTATTTTTAGCATAATGAGCAAAACTAAACTTAGAAGTGAGTTCCTCATGTTTTTAAGGACAGTTTTCTATGTAGCCTTGCATTATTAAAAACGTCTCTCTTTTGCTTAGAAATATGAATCTGAGGATAACCACAAGCTTCAGTTTTTCTAGGGATGCATATATGTTGAACCCAACCATGTACTATTGTTTGCATGCTATACTGAGATATAATTTTGCATTTACATTCTTTTGTCTTTTGATTTCTGTATTAATACATTTATTTGCCTCTTTCATTTTCTGGGGAGTTTTGAGTTGGAGTCTCACTCTGTCACCCAGGCTGGAGTGCAGTGGCACGCTCCTGGCCACCACAGCTTCAACCCGCTGGGCTCAGACGATCCTTCCTCTCAGCCTTCCAAGTAGCTAGAAATACAGGTGCGTGCCACCACACCCAGCTAATTTTTTTATTTATTGTAGAGACAAAGTCTCTCCAAGTTGCCCAGGCTGGCCTCAAACCCCTGGGCTCAGGTAATCATCTTGCCTCTGCCTCCCAAAATGCTGAGATCACAGGTGTGAACCACTGCTCCCAGCCTACTTCTTTAGTTTTTAAGTTAATATTTTTCTAGGTTGCCTTTTCAGATCCATATAATAGATAGCCATCTACATTTCTGTGCATTGTTTTCTATTCATTATACCTTCGTTGTGCACCCCCCCACCTGCCCCCGTATCTCCCTTTGTCTACATTCTTAGAGGAACAGTGAATTTCATTATTTAATCACCTGCTTTATGTTCTTGCACTCTATGTCAAGTGGCTCAAGCACTTTGGGAGGCCAAGGTGAGAGGATTGCCTGAGCCTGCGGGTTTAAGAACAGCCTGGGCAACTTGGCGAGACCCCATCTCTACAATAAATAAAAAATAAAATAAAATTAGCCAGACAGGGTAGCACGTGCCTGTAGTTCCGGCTACTTTGAAGGGTGAGTCAGAAGGATCGTTGGAGCCCAGCAGGTCAATGCTGGAGTGACTGTGAGCATGCTACTGCACTCCAGTTTGGGCAACAGAGTGAGACGCCAACTCAAAAAGACAAAAAAAAAAAAGTGAACGGAGGCAGTATAGCTCTGTGTGAGGTAAGGCTGGAGCCTATTGAATGTGGCTCAGACCTTGAAAAATCCAAGGCCCTCATTTTGCCTATCTGTGTAAATTACCAAGAAAAGGGATGTTGCTGGCAGCCCAGCAATCAACAAATGAGGGAAAATTATGCTTGGACACTTGAGAATATTGGATGAGCCACTGCTCCCCTCCTGTGTTTAAGAATACTTTCTGTGTAAGTGTAAAAGAATCTAACTGATATCTGATCTTTACTCTCTCAAAACTCTGTGATAACTTTCTGGGTATTAATATTATTGACATTGGCACCCTTAATTGAATTCCTTTATTATTCTTATACTTTGTGAGTGGGCCTTTTAATTATGTTTTCTTATATTCTCTCTAACTCACCATCAGTATATAACTAAGTTGTTTAATTGTAAGCTCATACCTAGACCTACTCAGTGGTATTACTGAAATTCTTTCCATCTTTTTTTGTAATTATATACTTGAAATTTGACTTTGAGCACATTGTGTCATGTTGCCCCTTGAACACCCCAAAGTACTTCATATTTTGCATTTAACTTATTACAGAAAAGCCAGGCGCAGTGGCTCAAGCCTGTAATCCCAGGACTTTGGGAGGTGGAAGCGAGAGGATTGCCTGAGCTCAGGGGTTCAAAACCAACCTGAGCAACATGGCAGGACCTGGTTTCTACAATAAATAAATTTTTTTAAAAATCAGCCAGGTGTGGTGGCACACACCTGTGGTTCCAGCTATTTGAAAGGCTGAGGCAGGAGGATCACCTGAGCCTAGTAGGTTGAGGCTGCCATGGCCACGAGCGTGCCACTGCACTCCAGCCTGAGTAACAGAGAGAGACTCTGACTCAAAAAATAAAAACTTATTGCATAGGTTATGGCTGTTATTTAGCTCAGCCTTCAGTATCAACCTAGTCTTACTTTGGTTCCTACTGTATTACTTATAGCCTTGTGACTTGAGGCAAATCACTTCTTTGTGAACTTCAATTTTCTCATCTGTAAAATATGAGTAGTAACTACCTCATAAGATGGATGTGTTGAATAATGTAATAATAATACATGTAATTGTTTACCATAGTGCCTGGTATTCAAAAAGCACTTAATAAATAGTGCTAGCCGGGCTCGGTGGCTCAGCCTGTAATCCTGCACGTTGGGAGGCTAAGGTGAGTGAATTGCCTGAGCCCCCGGGTTTGAGACCCGCCTGGGCAACTTGGCGAGACCTCATCTCTACAATAAATAAAAAAGTATCTGGGCGTGGTAGCGCGCACCTGTACTTCCAGCTACTTGGAAGGCTGAGGTGGAAGGATCGCTGGAGTCCAGCAGATCGAGGCTGCGGTGGCCGGGAGCAGCCACTGCACTCTAGTCTGGGCAATGGAGTGAAACTCCAACTCAAAATAAATAAATAAATAGTGCTGATGATTTTATTTCCTAAACTAACATTAACAAGTAAATGCCCTGAACTGAAATATTTACTTGTAGATTTTGATCATTTTCTGGGTGTATTATTGTCTAATGGTGGCATCTTTCTTTGGCTTTTAGGGATTTGGTTCTTGGGCATATGCCTCATGGGCTTTTGAGATTGGGTTGATCCAACAGCAATAGTGCTAGGAGATTTATTAACTGCACACCAAAGAAGTTAACCAGACTGGGTGTGGTGGCTCACGCCTGCCTATAATCCCAGCACTTTGGGAGGCCGAGGTGAGAGGATTGCCTGAGCCCACGGCTTCCAGTCCAACCTGGGCAACTTGGAGAGACCTCATTTCTACAATAAATCAAAAAATTATCTGGGTGTGGTGGCGTGTGCCTATAGTTTCAGATACTTGGAAGGCTAAGGCATAAAGATCGTCTGAGTCCAGCAGATCGAGGCTGCTGTGGCCGTGAACATGCCACTGCACTCCAGCCTGGGCAACAGAGTGAGACTCTGACTCAAAAAAAAAAAAAAAAAAGTTAACCAAAGCAAAACACTGTGTCCCATACCACGTTATCCCTGTCACCTTTACCTGCGTCTCTATAAAGCGTATTAAGCAGATCACAGATTGTCAGTCTGGAGAGATCCTGAATCGTACACTCCTTTCTAAGCCCTCTTCAGCCCAGATCTCTCTCCTTTCTTGTTTTCATCTAACCCGTATTCTCTTCCATAATCTGTTATTTCCTTAACCTTGTTAATACTATTATCCTCCCAACATAAATATTACAAAATGCTCTTGAAAATGTGTTTGTAAAAGCTGTTTGCATGCCTTGTTGTATTGTCTGTTTTAGATTACATACTCACAAGGATTGTGCCCCTTTTGGTTTACACCGTATTTAGGATCTATCAGTGTTCCATACCCCAAAATGATGTATTTGTCTATGCCCTTTTTTTCTAAGGTTGCTGTCTTTTCTGAGTTTTGAAGGAAACAATAAAACCCCATTTCCCCATGTTTCTTCCTTCATTTCTTTTTCTCATAGTGGTTCCATTGATAATTATGTTCTTACCTCAATTCTAGTCATCAGTTTTTAATTATTATATTCCTGCCTTGTCAGAAGACAAAATAACAATATACCTTTTAATTATCTTCCTCTGTTAATGTCAGTGATAAGTCCTCAGTGTATTATTATTATTATTATTATTATTATTTTTTTTTTTTAATTTAGAGTCTCTCATTCTGTCAACCCGGCTGGAGTGCAATGGCACATTCACAACCACCACAGCATCTACCTACTGGGCTCAGGTGATCCTTCTGCCTCAGCCTTCCAAGTAGTAGGAATTACAGGCACGTATCACCAAGCCTGGCAAATTTTTTGATTTATTGTAGAGATGAGGTCTCGCCAAGTTGCCTAGGCCGTTTTTTTGGTTTTGTTTTGAGTTGGAGTCTCAAACCTGTAGGTTCAGGCAATTCTCTCACCTCAGCCTTCCAAAGTGCTGGGATTATAGGCGTGAGCCACCACTCCCAGCCCCTGGTACCATTCCCTGTCCTACAAGAGCTTTATTTTTCATGATTTGCACAGCATTTTTTTAACTTACTGTCTTTTTTTTTTTTTTTTTGAGTTGGAGTCTCTCTTTGTTGCCTAGGCTGGAGTGCAATGGCACACTCATAGCCACCGCAGCCTTGACCTGCAGGGCTCAGGTGATCCTTTCACCTCAGCCTTCCAAGTAGTTGGGACTACAGGCATAATTCTGGGTGTG